AAAAATTAAAGTTAAAGGTTACCGTACGTAACGTAAGTAGGTTAAGGGTACGTTAACGGTACCCGTCCTCCTCGTCTCACACGACCACTCGTCGTCTCTCTCTCTCTCTCTCTCTCTCTCTCTCTCTCTCTCTCAGTATGAGAAGAAGAGGGAAAAGATGGCCTCCAAGGGTTCGATGCGAGGCCTCTCTCGCACACAAATTCACACACATACCCAGACACACACATGAACCCATATGCACTCGCTCTACATATAAGAAGAAGGAAAGAAGAAGATGACTTCCAAATGTTTGATGCATAGGAGTAAGTCCACATAACTCAAACTACTCAATAGCATAGGAGCAAGTCCATATAACTCAAACTACTAAATTGCATAGGAGCAAGTCTACATATAGTGAAAAGGACACATAACAAATTGTCAAATCTTAAATCCCCAATGTTTTGCATGAATATTGAGCTATAAATCACCCAAAATCTTCCTTGCAACCCTCTTGATATTTCACAAATAAACACATTAGAAAGCTTTCAATTTCATACAACTTTTCAAAGTTTTTAGCTCTTTCAATCTTCAAAATTATGGATTTTTTTATATTTTTTCAATCAAAAAAGAAGTTAGGGAGCAACATGTGTGCATGTGATGGTGGTGGTAGTGGTTTTTGGGGGAGAGGCGGTTGGCATGGTGGTCATAGTACACCTCCATTTGTCTTTCTCACCCTTGAAATTGGGGGAAAGGTGCAAAATGACCGTGGCCAGAGGGCATTTTCCACCGTCCGCCCATAGGCAGCCCAAGGCAGGTGCCTCAGCATAGATGCTAAATGCCACATGAGGCAGCCACATAAAGGGAAGAGGCTGAGGCGGGAGGAGTGAGAAGGAAGGGGGGGGTGTGGCTGTCTTGCCCTGAGAGAGGTTCCTAGACAACCCCCAGCCTCAAACTACTGCCTAGGCACTTGCATCAAGCAATTTTTATACATTGTTCGAGAGGAGAATAGTTCCTATATATAAAGTCACATAATCAAGAAGCAATGGAGCTTAAACAAGCCCTAAATTGAACTGAATGACCAGGCCTCCGACTGCAAAGCACCAACTGTGAAGTTAGGGCAGGTTTGGCACCTGAAAATATTTTCATGAAAGTATTTTCACATGAAAGAACCCTCCCACGCGATTAGGTGTAAAAAAATTTTCACAACCAAAAATGCTTACCAATTGTTATGAAAAAACTGCCACCTAATCACATGGAGGATTTCTTTCATCCGAAAAAACTCTCACAACCTAATCACATGGGGGAGTTCTTTCATGTGAAAATACTCTCACAAATATTTTCATGCGTATCAATTGTAACTTAGGGCAAAGACTCACAGGAAAGCAGATAGGCATCCACTTATCGAGTAACATAAGGTCAACTGGTAAACAGTAGAACTAGAATTTATGATTGTGCAAGTATATGAACAGCAAAAGAAATCAATGGTCAAATAACAGGAGAATAAATTTAAGACATATCTCTTATAACTATCAACATCTCCAAATACAATTCTACAACAACAACCAATCCTTTGCAAACTACTGCTGAAATTATTTTTTAAAAAAAAGTGAAGTGAGATGAAAAAATAGTAAATATAAGTGATATTACCCAAACATTTCATAAACCAACTAGGTTCCAATTCCAACTATGCAAATCCCATTAAAGTATGACACGAGGTAGGGAAACCAGACACATTCAATAGGCCTTATGAAGCCAATCAATCAAAGAATAGGCATGGCTTCCATGCTATATAGGCAGGTATCAAGCTGCATAATAACGTACATCAAACAGAAACTAAATATAACAGATAAGTAGCATAAAATACTCTCTCCTTTTGTTGGATAAGTGCATAGCCTGAGATCTCACACCCCATAAACCAGAGAAGAAATTAACCCAATCGCATGTATTAAAAAGCTAATCTCCCAAACTAAACCCTTCTTACAACTGGAAAATGATGGCCATAGAACTTAGATTTCAAATTCATCCAAACCCCATCAATATATATCCTCAGAACGAACAATCAAACAAGCGCCAGCCCACAATCAATCAAAGATCTGCAGACCAGCGTGATCCCATTGACACTAAAGGAACCAAGTTTAAAGAAATTAAAAAGTCAACCTAATCAGAGAGGTATCAACCATGAATTCTGGGTCATCAAAACCTGCATATTGACAGTGAATCCGAGCCCTCACCCATTTGCTTCGATTACCAGATAATTAAAGCGAAACCCAAGCCATAAAAACCACAAGCTAGCGATAGATAACAGATTTAACACCAAGAACCCTAAATTTCCCATATTCGAGCCTATCCCATTTGAAACCCTAACCCTAGTACCAATCAAATTGACTTATCCCATCAAAAAACACAATGAAAACCAAAAAGAGGCTAAAACCACAAAGAACATAAGGTACAAATATAGAGATAAAAAGAAAAAAAAAAAAGATGAATGAAAAAAACGCTGAAAGAGGTTATGGCGTACCTGAGGAGAATGGGCCTAGAGAGAGAAAGGAAGGGGAGAGAGAGACAGGGGGAACGGTGCCTGAGCTTGGCGGAGAGACTTAACGTCCGCTCTCTTCCTCGTTTATATACAAAAACAAATCACGAGCCCTCTTTGTTTGTTGAGGACCTATACTGTCGTCCCACAGGATCAAACTGTTCATTTATTCCTTTATTCAAAAAAGATTTGTTCACACCAATTGGCACGTAATTTGTGTGAAAATATTCTTAAATATAACCACATGAGTGAAATTTTCATATAAAAATAATGTCAACCAAACATGCCCAAGATAATTATTTTAAAAAAAAAATGTTGAATTTTGAGTTTTTGATACTTAGATCTCACCTTTTAAATTTTGGACAGTCTTTGTTCAATCTTGAGACAACATTTATTCTCGTAGCTCAATTCATAAAATTTCTAGTGGGGTTAGTCTATGAGTTGAAGAGGTTATAGCCCTAAAATTTAAGGTCCTTAAATTACTCGTATATTGGTTTTACTCAATGGATTAAATGAGTCTTATACTCTTATCTTGTTTTTTTCTTTGTTACCTTTTTTTTTTCTTTTTTTTTCTTTTTTTTACTAGAATATTAAATATTAAGTGAGCAGAATACTCTCTTGGGAGTATAAAATCATATAGTTTATTTATATTTTTCTCTCTCCTCTCTTTCATGTTTATCTCTCTTGTTACCTAGGTGCATCAGATTTTAGAAGAGGCGACCTACCCCCTCTCTCTCTCTATTTTCTTTATCTCGTTCTCACCCCTCTATTTTAGGCGGAAACTATCTCTCTCTCTCTAACGCCCGATGGATGGACGGCACCGTTTGCTTCTGTACGTCATCAGCTTATTTCATCTTTCCGTTAACGGTGGCGGTGTATTGCGTAACGAGGTGGGGTCGGGTGTGAGAGGGTAGATGGGACGTCCGTTTCACGGCCAAACCATGACTTCTTCGAACCGTGTGTATGGAACGGCGACAGGGAAATTGTAAGTCATCTAACCAAAGTAGCATCCACGTGTATGCGTTTTATCACCGTCCGATCCATGCATTGGACGGCCATGGAGAAAAGTAGAATTCGTTTAAGAGGCGAAGTGACTTGGTCCTCTCCCCTAAAAACATATAAACCCTAGGCTCTAACAAATCCCATGGTACCCGTATCATTGTAATGTATTGATCCAACACCCACATTTCCTCTAGTCCTAAAAACCTCGAGCATGGGGCAGACAAAGGTCAAGGCAGGGCCCGACAACCATGACATTAGCGTACAATCAGGCTGGGCAAGAGCCGAGGCTGGCCGGGCCCAATTTGGCCCTCTTTCTTTTTCTTTTTTATTTGACCTAGCCCAACCTGACCCTAATAAGACCAGTGCTAGACTAGAGCCAAGGTTGGCCAAGCCTCAGCCTAGCTCATTGCCAGCCCTAAATTAAAAATCTACATTTTTTTTATCGTGTTCAGGCCATAAGAGCTAGGAAAAAGTTTATTTATGGTTGAGACCCTAAACAATCAAATTAAGGTGCACATTAAAAATTTGCTAGAAGAAGTTGTTTCGATATTCAAAAACCCTCAAATTCAACCACCTTGACCTTGACATAAAAATAGACTTTAAATCTTAGAAATAAAACATCTTGTAATGCATTATCTAGACCATCAATTTTCAACATTTTCAAGCGTTCATGGATCTATTTGATCTACACTATTTGTGCAGCTTTAAATTTTATAATTGGATATAAAAATAAAGTTTGAGGTGATCATAAAGGTTTTCAACACATGAAACGACATCTTGGCTCTATTTGATGTTATGCCTTTTAAGAAAAAGTAATAGAGGTAAAAAGAGTGAGGAGAATAAAAAAGGGCTAAAATATGAGTTTTTTTATTTGCTTAATTTGGACCAAAATTTGTTTTATGGATTTAACAATATAAAGTCGTAAATTCTGCATAGGCGTTATGCCTACTTTCGTAGTCATTCCATTAACGTCCAGCATTTTGTTGCGACTGTGATGACCTCAGGGTCTTGGAGTTTTGATGACGATAATAGTTATTAACTTGACCTAAGGATCATGGGAAGGTTGGCCTTTGGCTTTAACACCATTCCATGAAGGGACGCACGATGATATTATATAATAGTAATAGTATTTAAAAACCGAAGTGTAGACCTCATAATTGCCCAAGTCGCTCGAAATTGAAGGCCTCTGTGTTCGTCTTGACGGTTAATATTTTTGTTTTGTAAAAATACTTGTGTGCATTTCAAAATAACAATATAGTTTTAGGGATTGTATACACCATTTACCTCTGATACAAGGTGATGACAATTACTTATAACCATCCGATATGAATTTAATAACTTGGATGTATCACAAAGTTTGAGAAATTTCTTTTGAAATTTGAGCTTGGTCAATGGAATAATTGCAACCACCCAATTTCACATCCAATAGTCAAGATTAATGTAACCACCTTGCATTAAAGGTAAATGCTTTCATTCTAATATATGCATTGATGTTTTGTATTCTGATGAAATAGATCTATCAAGGTAGAGTCAAAATGACAACTTGGGAGGGCTGTTAAAAGCCCGAAGGGTCGTTAAAAGGCCGGATGAATGTCCCGCATATTCATCTGGCACAGATAGGCTCGTTGACTTGGCCCTTATGGGGGTTCGGGGGCGGCGCCCTAAAGGAAAATTTTGGATATATCTGTACATGGGATTCAATATATCTAGGACTTGATATATATTCATACAAGGGTATTTTAGTAATTTGTATCATCTTTTTGGGACTCGATATATATATTATTGCGATAAGGGGTTTTTTAAAGTCAAGGGAAAAACACAGATTTCTTGGTAATCAGAAAGAACAGAGAGCCGTGAAGAAGAGAGCTATTGTAACCCTATTCTCTATTGCCAGTAAAGAAGCTCTCATCTTCTGTGGACGTAAGCACCTTGTTGAACCACGTATATCTTTGCGTTGTGGTTGATTGTCTTTTTCTTTTGTGTTTGTTTCTTCATTCTTGTTTTCGTGGATTGTTTCGTTTCTACATGTTTTAGTCTCACATTGAAGAGGAGAGTATGGATTAAGTGATATTTAAGTGTATGCATTCTTATATGCCTTATACTTTTAGAACAATAGTGTGAGCAATGATGCATATGTGGGCATGCGAGTGCATGGGCACCAGGGCGCTTAATGGCAAACCCTGTTGAGCAAAAATCCAATTTTCAAAATAACAATAAGTATTTAGTCACTATAGTAAATATGTTCCTAGGATCCCTCCTAGGGGGGTCTAAAAGGGCCAAGAAACCAACTGAAACATTTTGTGGGCAATAGAAACTGAAGTATACATGATCAATAAAGATTGTAGATGGTGGGTCGATATTGGAGCTATCATTCATGTGTATAATAATAGAAATCTATTTAAGACCTTTGAACTAGTAGGTGATGGAAATTTGGTATAATTTCGAACTCGAGCTATAAACAAAACCCTTGAAAAAAGTATTGTGGAACTAAAGTTTAGGTCAGGTAAAGTTCTTACTTGGAAAATGTATATTATATACCGACTATGAGAAGAAACATTGCATTTGGATGTATCTTAAACAATAAGGGTTTTAAAATGGTCAAATCATTTTAACAAAAAAGATGTGTTTGTTAGTAAAGGTTACTCTTGCGATAGTATGCTCAAGTTTGATTTTGTTAATGGAATAAATGAGTATTCTGCTTATATTGTGACTTCTTGTAATGCATGGCATGAAATATTAGGACATTGTTTACTATGGTTCTATTAAGTCTTTGGTTAAGTTGATATTTATTTGTGATGAATTGTGTATTGAAAAATGTGAAGTATATGCAAAAGCTAAGATAACTAGAAAAGAATTACCTACATTAGAAAAAAAAATTGTTAGGATTTATACAGAGTGACATATGTGAATTGAATAATGTGCTTACAAAGATGGTAAAAGATATTTCATTGCATTTGTAGACACCCCATTTTTGGAATTGGTTAATCTTTTCTAGGGACTACAATAGCCTAGTAGACCCTTGTCACTTTTTAGACATAAAACCAAACTTTAGACTTATTCAAGCCCTAATATAATCATCCTAGCCCTGAGCCTATTACACATAGAAAACCAACCCAGACACTGATCTAATACCTCAAAACCTGAAACCGATACCTACAGGTCCTAGCCCTTTAGACCCTTTTAATTTCACAAAAAATTAGGCCAAATTTGATTCTACGTTGAAGAAGAGATCATAAGATTTCCAGCAGTTCAATAATGGCCTAAATCCGATTTGTTGTTTGAAAGTTATGGTCGAAACAAAATTGTTTGCCAAAACTTTCAGAATGGTCAATGTAGAAATTCCAAAACGCCTCAGAAATTTCCGGAAGCTGTTGTGGTGGGTTTTGGATTTTTGATAACTATCTTTTTTATCCAAACTATTAGGATAAGTATAAATATTTTTAGAATAACTAAAACTATTTTTTATAATTTTTCAAAACTACCCTTGAACTACTATTATTTAAACCTCGTCATAAAATACCAAATCATAGAGAGAGAGAAAATACTTGAAAAATTCCAAACTTTCCCAAAAACTCATCTAAAATCAAAAAATTAAACATACCTATAAAATTTTAAGAAAATACCCAAAAATCCCCAAGTTTGAGGGAGCTAGACCAAGGTATCTTAAAAAAGACCCTAATTTTCATCGATAAATCCAAGCCTTATGGAGCTTGACGTAGGCATCTTCAAGAAGAAGATCCTTATTTTCATTGATAAACCCAAGTCCTATGGAGCTAGACCTAGGCATCTTCAAGAAAAAAAAAGTGAAGGAGCATGGTGTAAACAACCTACGGTCTTGATACAAGCACCAACTCTGAGTCTTTAGTGTACCTCTCTAGTTGGCTCGGCTAGGTAAG